TAACTGTCTCTTCCATCTTTGAACCCAAACACTTCTACAAGAGTAGGTTCTCAATAAATGTCTTAATATCTGAAAAATTATTTAATACTGCTTTCCTTACCGTTCCTTATCTAAACACCATACAGCCTTGAATCATTCCTACCATTTAACTCAGAGATTTCTCCAATGTAAATGAAATATTCTCTCCCCTTTAATTCTCCTTCCACCTCCCAAATCCACAAGCAAGTTTGTGCCTACTTAACTTGAGTTCTCATCAAAATTCCTCCTTGTGATTTCATCTTTGGAAAGAAAGAAAAGTTTTCCCAGTGTATAGCTATAAATCAATCCAAATCTGGAAGTGCTGAGTTATTCCCATCATTATTTATGGAATCCTATGGAATTCTAGTGTGTGCGTCTCTAACCAAGTGGGGAAGGTCAAAGCCCCAGTTCCCTTTCCCCTAGGTAACACGCCTCTGAGTCCCAGTTTCCCCAGAACCATGAACTCCAGAATGATTAAGACTAAAACATTTAAATAAGTTTTCAGTAGGATTCTGATATCCAAAAAGTTCTGTATATGTGTGTATTCCAAGGGAAAGTCTAAAGATTCAAGAGCATCTGTGATGGTTAATTTTGAGTAACACCTTCAAGGGATTGAGGGATGTCTAGGAAATCAGTACCAAGAAGTGGGGTTGTCTCTGTGCCTCTACTTGATGATGTGGAAAGTCTTTGGAGTTGATCCATGAGAGGAATCTGGGAATGTTGGGAGGAGCAGGCTAGAAAAAGCCTGGAATGTTGCAAGTGGAACATAATCAGGTGATCCTGGTGGAGGCTCAGAAGGACAGAATGCTGACAGGGATGCAGCCACTGATAGGAAGGCCAAGGCGATGAGATTTTGGGTGAAAATGAAGATTATACTCACAGTTGGACTAGAGGCCACTCTTGTTATACCCTGGCAAAGAATATGGCTACTTCTCATGAGAGGCTGAGCTTAAAGGCAACAGACTAGTTTATGTGGCAGAAGAAATTTCAAAGGAACAGTAGCATTCGAGATGTGGCTTGAGTAGTATTCGCTGCTTTTTAAAAAATTGATGTTTGCAATATTGCACTTGTTTGGGGGAACTGATAGATATGGGAAAGGAACTTAAGGGAAAGAAGTGTAAAGGGAGGAAGGGACCAAAAATGACCAAAACTTTTCCCCCCAATTCCCTTTCCCATCTGTAAAAGGTGTGGCTTAATTTTACTATTTATTTGTATGTTGTGTTTCTCATTTAAGAGAAATCAGGCAGTATTTGATTTTCTGCATCTGATTTATTTGACTTAACATGACAGTTTCAAGGTCCATCCCTGTTCCTACAAATGCGATGAATCCATTTTGTTTTGGCTGAGTAAGACTGCATCATGTCTAAATACTACATTTTCCTTATCTAGTCCTCTGTTGCTGGGCATCCAGACTGGTCCCAGAACTTAGCTATCGTGAATTGCACTGCTATAAACATAGGTATGCACGTATTACTATCTAGCATGATATCTTTAACTCTTTTGAGAATATACCCAGAAGAGATGTAGCTGCATCAGATGTTATGGACTGTTTTTAGCCAAATTTATATGGAGTATGGGAAGCAAAGAAGAGCAGAGCATAAAATTTTGAAAAAATTCACAGGCTGGCCAAAAAAACACCATGTATAAATGTGCAGTGAAAGAGAAGGTGGTTGTTAAAGAATTTACAAAGAAACCAAGTTCTTCACATGGGACAATAGAAAAGATTCCAGAAGGCAAGCTCAGAAATTGGCAAGACAAAGCCATCAGCTCTTAAAGGTACAGAAATGAAAATTTGTTTCAAATACTTTTGAGAATATTTGAGAATAAAGCCCTGGAGCACCCTACACACCCAAAAACCCCTAGAGATTAATTTTTCTGTGTTAGCCTTCAAGGCTCTCAGAGGCTGCTGCAGCCATGGTTCAAGTAGAACAGGCACAGCTCACACTGGTAGCAGTCTTTGGGACTGTCCACATGATGCTGTTATGCAAACATGAAAAATACAAGCGTTCTAGTATCATAGGCTTTGACTGAGATTTTAAAGGGTAACCTGGAAGGTCAGACAGAGTCAGAGTGCCTGTAAGCAGTCCCAGGGTCCTTCCAACCAGTCCCTGACAGAATACTATATGAAACTGTGGCAGTAAAGTCAAACCCCAGGAAGACAAGTGCTAGAAATATGTAATGCTGTCCAGGGAAAGCGATGGCAGTGAGCAGAGCTAGCCCTACAGAGTGGTCATGTGGGCTGCTGCCAGCAAGTGTACAGGGCCAGAGCTGCCCAAACTTTTGGTGGTTACATCATGCCACAATGTGCACTGGATGCTGAATGTGGCTCCACAGGGCTTAATGTTTGCCCTGCTGTGCTTTGGTCTTGCTTTGGTCTGACCTCTCCTTATGGCCGTATTCCATCCTTTTTTAATAGGAGTGTTCACCTATATTTGTTTCACCATCATATATTGGAAATAGGTAAATTGGTTTTTAAAAAAATTTTATAGGGGCTCACAGGAGAGTTTGCCTTGTGTTTCAGAGACTTTAGACTTGGGGTTTTAAGCAATAATGGATCTGTTCCAACTTTGAGGACTTTTTGGATAAATTAATTTTTTCATTGTGAAGTGAACAGAGAAGCCTTTGAAGGACAGGAGTAAGATACAATAGCTTGGATCTGGAATTTCCCCTCAAAGGCCCTTGGTAAAGCCTTGGTCCCAAGCACAGCACTAGCAGGAGATGGCAGAACCTTTAAGACACAGGGACAACTACGAGGTATTCAGATCACTGTGAGTGTCTCCTTAGAGGGAATGGTTGAGACCCTGGTCTATCTCACTGCTTGGCCACAAGATGAACAACTTTGATTTGCCACATTCTCGACATTATGTGCTGCTTCACCACAGGCCAAAGAGCAAAGGGTATGAACTCTGCTAGTGAGAACTAAAAGCTGACAAACTTTACTTGGTCATAAACCTTGTGGTATGTTATACCAAATGGTGACTTTCACTACTTTTAGTTGCTTTTTTTGTTATGGTATATACTTGTAAAAGCTATAAATGGTTCACAAGACAGTTTAGAAAGGTTTGGAGATGCTGGGTGGAAAAGTAGCTCTAGCATACTTTTTAAAGTATCTCCCCTCACAAAAAATGATTATTCTCTGAATAATAAATAAACTAGACTTGGGGCTGGGGATTTAGCTCAGTGGTTCTGGTGCCTGCCTCGCAAGGTCAAGGACCTGAATTCAACACCTAGTACCAAAAAAAAAAAAAAAGACTTTCTAAATAAAACAGACTTGTATGGCATATCAAAATAAATCTTATGTGGCAAAAGATCTATATACAAAATTTAAATGATCAATATCCTTCAACAACTTAGAGGAATATTTAATGTTTCATTGGGGCAAGTGACCCAGACACAATCTGATAGTATTATACACGGTAGGAGACAAAAATAACTTAGCTATGGTCACTCTATAAATGGAAGTATTATATGGCTAATAAATTGATCTATGTGAATATCTAGTGACATGAGATTATGTTCCCAATGTAATCAATGAGAAAGCAAGGAATAAAACTGATCTGGTCAATAGAGACTATAGTGAAGGTTAAGAGAGGCTGCCTGTGTTCCAATTCTAAGTGTTCCATTAGCCTGCAATCTTACTTATGAAGCCAGATTGGGATCTAATTTGTACTTTGACAACTAAAGATAAACTCTTATACTTGCATTATCCCTCAGCGTGAGCTCCAATGTAGCCCACCTGGAAAATAGGATAATATTTCAGGCACTTAGACTAGTGTTCAGTCCATACTAGACAGTGTCAATGTTAAAGTGAAGGTGATCTTGATTATTTCTATGTTTGCACACTGTGATTGTTAATTGTTATCTGTCAAAACAACTAGAGTAAGAACTTCCTAACAGATTAGTTAAGTCTTGAATGTGTCTGTACATGACTAAAATGTAGGCCGCAAACTAAGGAGGGACACCCACACACATACACAGATGTTGAGGCCACCAACCAATACACTTGTAGCCTGGACAGAAAAAAAATGGAAAGAAAGAAGTCTTTACCACTGCCTGTGGATATTTGTCTCTACTTCCTTCAGACTTCCAGCACTAACTCTTCAGTGCAGACCCTTTTTACCTTTCCAACACAGACTCACGCCAGACTCTGCAGTGTGCTCTAGGCCTTTGACTTTTGACTGGATCCTAATATTAAATCTGATCTGACCAGCTAGTGAACTGTGTCACAAATTTTGGTACTGAGAATGGAATCATTGCTATTCTACCTGACTATGTGATTCAGAAGCCTTTGGAAATGGTTCACAAGACAGTTTAGAAAGGTTTGGAGATGTTGGCTGGAAAAGTAGCCCTAGCATACTCTAAACCCAGGTTGATGAGAAGTTCAGATCAGAGCTTAGAAGACTAGACTGTTGATAAAAAGGCAAGTGGTAAAGACCAGGCTCAGGAGGATTCAGTTCAGAACAAAGACTTCATGGACAGTTGTTCTCCAAGCCATGTGTGTTATACTCCTGCAAAAAAATTGTCTACATTGTGCTCATGTCCTGAGACTTTTCAAGAGTCTGAAATTAAGGGAAGAAGACTAATTCATTTAGCAGAGGAAATTTCAAGGCAGCCCATTGTCGAGGCTGTCCTAAGGGTGGTGCTTATTTCTTTTAGAGAAACAAGAGCAAAAGGCCCATTTGAAAGGTTTTCAGTCTCCCCAGAAAGGGCTGGAAAAGTTGGAGCAGAAGAGAGCTTGGTTGTTTAAATGATTGGCATTAAAAATAAGCCAAGAATTTTTCAACAGGGAAAAAAAAAGGTGCCTTGAAGGAATGTGATAAGTCAGCAAGACTCTATCCTTAACAGGCTAAGACATGTGAAAGACTTTGTTTTGAGAAGAGAGCCCCAGGACACATTGCTGGAGAAAAGCTGACTAGCAAATTGGTTCCCCTGGGGTTCCATTCACATTGTTTACCCATGCAGGTACTCAGAGGACCTTGCAGCTATGATGCAAAGGAGCTTGTTACTTTTGAAATCAGAAGCAGAACTTGATGTCACCCTCATGGTGCTGGTTTTACAGGTATGCAGGATGCAAGAATTGTGGGTTTAGAAAGGCTTCCACTAAGGTTTCTGAAGAAGGCCTGAGAGGCCAGATGGTATCCCCCTGAGAGGGCAGTGCGCAAAGCTGTGGAATGAGGCAGAAGCACAATGAGTCCCCATAAATTTGGAGAAACCAGAACAGTTAAATGAGGAAAGCCAAAGGCAGTGAGCAAAGCCTGCCTAAGAAAGAAGTCATGAAGATTGCATTCACTAGCAATGCTATAGATGCTAGGCCACCCACAAGGCCACTCATCAGACCACACATCCTCGCCCTGGGTGCTGGACATGTAACTAGGATTTAATATTTGGCCTGCTAGATTTCAGCCTTGTTGGTCTGACTTCTTTCTATCCCCCCAAATCTCCCTTTTGGAGTGGGAATGTTTACACTGTGCCATTGTATGTCAACAATGTTAAATTTCCTTTTTTATTTTTACAGGGGTTCACAGCTAAAAGTTTGTCTTAAGTCTCAGGATAGATTTTGGACTTGGACTTTTCAGCAATATTGGAACTCTTGGTACGTTGGCAACTCATAGAGATGAACTGCATGCACTTCTTCATGAAGAGATGCACCTGATTTTGGGGGTTCCTAGGGTGGCATGTTATAGTTTATATATAGATGTCCCTCCAAAGCCTCATGTGCTCACAGGGGTGGGGGTTTCAAAAGGTGACTGAATCATGAGAGCACTGTAGCTAAATGTGATGCTAGGAGGTAGGGTCTCCTTGGAAGAGAGAGATCAGTGGGGGCATGACCTGGAAGGGGGTGATGTTAGTAGTGGTAAAGCTCTATGTAATGGGGACACAGTAGTTTTTTTATTGCTTATGCATAAGTTTAAATATTCTATTCCCACTTTGTTATGACCATGCCATGTCTATTGATTGTGTCAAAGTTTAAACCTAAGAGGTTTTGCTAAAGGCTGTTCATAAGCTTTTCATATCAGTTTTACTGTTATGAACAGCAAGGATACAGACTGTTTCCTCCTTATTTTCAATGTGAGGGCTTCTTTTTCTGTTGGCTACTTTAATACTAAAGTCATCCATTTTATTTTAAATGATGCATCCATTTTAAAATGATACTACTTATTATTACTTCACTTAAAATTTTCAGATTGCCAAGTTAACTATGTTTGGAACTGAGCTGTACTAAATTTCCTTCCTAAATCTTCATAAAAATATGAGTATCCAGCTCCAAATTGCTCACAAACGTGGAATTTATTACCATGTTGGAATCCAAATTGGGATCTAATTTCTACTTTGACAAATGAAGATAAAATGTTATACTTGAATTACATGTTTTTCTGGTTATTTTATTTTTTAAAATCCAAATGTAAAATGGATATTTTCCTCTATTTGACTAACAAAACTTAAATGCAGCTAATAAAATGTTGATGGGTATGTGCTAAAATTGAAATGTTCATGGATTGATGCTGGAAATATTCAGATGCTTTGGAGAAAATTTGACAGGATTTAAAAAATAACAAAATATGTATATTCTAGATTGGCTATTATATGATACTATGGATTATTAATTTCTTAGATATGATTAGTATACTATGGTTATATAAGAGAGTGACTATGGGCTAGGGATCTAGCTCAGGGGTTCTGCCGCCTGCCTCACAAGCACAAGGTACCAAGTTCGATTCCCAGTACCAAAAAAAAAGAGAGAGAGTGATTATTAGGAAATCACTGATGGACTATCGAAGAGTTAAATCTAAAACTTCAAAAGGTTCAACAAAAAATAAACTAAAAACACACGTGTCTATTTAGAGAGAAAGCAGATAAGTCAAAATTAAATAATGAGAAAATTTAGGTAAAAACAGATGATCACTTTATGCTCTTTCAACTTTCCTGAAGGCTTAACAATTTTCCAAACAAGAATTAGAGGAAAAGGTGGTAAATCCTTCAGTACACAAGGCAACACACACAGAATTGTCCCCTGTACCATTGATTGCAACTGTGAAGAACTGGCAACTGCCCAAATGTTATGAAAAAAAAATGTATTTGCTATATGAGATCTTTTATAACAGTGAAGAGGAAGGTGTTAAATTTATAGCATAGCAATACAGAAAGATCTCAAAAGCAGTGCTGAGTGGAATTAATTAAAAGCAGGTGGTCAAATGAGTCTTACAATACTATTTATTTAAAAGTTAATTTTCAAGTGGACACAAAATGTATTGTATCCTAGTTGCATAACTATGGAAGACATGAGAAGGAACTCAGTGACATCATGGTGGATACACAGGGATAATGCTAACGGTGCTGGGGAATATGAGGTAGAAAGAGAGGGTAGGACAGGACTTGCGTTTTGTTTACTATATATTACTTATTACATTTTAACTTAATATTTGCGAACAGATTAAGAGGGACTCATCATAAAGCTGAATGACCCAGGCCTCGCCCCCACACCACAACAAATGGCCCCCACCACAGAGCTTCCTCTTTACACCTAGGCCAAGCAGTGTTCTCTGAGTTCTCCCTCCCCGTCTCTCTCCACGCTCCCGTCCCTGCTCCCCTAACCAATTCTATATTTTCCAAATAAAACGCTTCTTGGACACTGTTTCGTAACGAAAATGCCACACGCACATCGCTCATGGATCTCCCTTTTTAAAAAAAATCATGGTAACCAAGTAGGCTTTCCAAAGCAATGACGTTCTAACAGTCCTTCATTTTAAATGAGCTATGATCAACATGGAAGTAAACTGAGGAGGTCTAGGGAGCTGCACCCATCCAGCCACCCTTCCTTCCCCAGGCTGATGTCAAGGTGGCGTGCGAGGTATATACTGCATACAGGAGAGAGCAAATAAGTGAATGGGAAAGGGGAAGGAAGGGGAAGGCTGTGGCAGAAAGTTGGGGAGAAACAACTGATTCAGTGGGGCTATGATGAACTGGCAGACCCAGGCAGATACTCCAAGTTTATTGTCCCCATGAAGTTCTGTCGTGCAGGGAAAATGACCAGAACACAGAGCGCACCGGCAATATCACAGTGAAATCAGAGGAGACTACCCTGCTCTTTCTGATGTTCTCACGTCCTAGGGCAAGTACAGACGTTTCGCCGAGTACTCTCAATCCATAATTACTCAAACAATAATTCATTAGGAACAAAATACTGTTTAACAGGAAATATGACTGGTCTCCCTTAGGGAATCTTTTTGGTAGATGATGAAACTACCTTTGCAATAACTAACAAAAACGCGATGGAAATAATAAGATAGGGTCTGGATAAACGGTGCAGAAGAAGGCCAAGTAAAGAAAACTTCCTCCTCTAGTAGAACGAGGCTACTAGATGATTATTTCATTAGAGAAAAGGTATGGCATATTGAAGTATCATCACTAAACCGGACCATCCCTAATAAAAGGATGAATAGGGAAAAATCAGTTTCTCAAAAATACTAAAAAATAATTTTACATTCGCAATCTATATTCATATTTTTAGGAGGAAGTCAGAAAAGTCTTAGGGAATCACCTCACCCAATCTTTTCACTTTGCCAATGAGCTCAGAACGGCTACATGGCTTTTCTAAGGCCTTGTAACTATTCCAAAGCACAACCCTCCAGCCCTATATTCTCAAAATGGTACCCCTTCAGTGTTTCCTTTACAGTCCTCTATCCTCTGAAATCTGGGTCTTCTGGGACTGCTATAATTTTTTTTTTAAAAAATCGTTTCCTAAGACAAAGTAGGATATTTAAATGCAGTTTGAGTATGCCATAGCTTTTGGGGAATGTTAATAATATCCTTAGGTAAAATGATGGCATCTGGTTTTATGTGGAGGAACGGCCCTAACAAACAAGCACCCTAACAAAGTACCACATCATGTAGTCTGCAGCTAACGTCCATGTCATTCTGTGAAACAGAGCAGACAGGTAGATAGCTGGATAGGTAAGCAAATATGTATGGTACAGTGTTGACAATTACTGAATGTAGACAAGGAGAGTTCATTATCTAGGCCTTCTAATGTTTAATTTTAGAATATTTTATAATAAAAATAACAAGATAGATACTTTAAAAAAATCATTTCAAAATGTAAGTAATAGATCCTTACCCAGCTGCTCAGCCACCTCACTTGACACAACTAAGGCAAGCCTTCCAGAAGTGGGGGACATACGGGGCCCCCAGACGGTGTGTCTAAACCTGTCAGAAGCAAACCAGACCTAGGAAATCCATGGAGGAGGCAGTGGAAACCAACAGAAATTTCCAATAGCTGTAGATGAGGGGTCCTTGGACTCAGGTGTCCTGGTCCACACCTCCCACTGAAGGGCAGGGAAGGGGCCGAGCCTGGGCCAACTTCCTATACCTAGCCAGAGAGGTGAAAGGAAAAAAAACCAAAACCAAACAGGTCGCAAGATCAACATGATTTTCCCAGAAAGAGCAACACTACCTTAGTTTACCTCTGTATTCTAAAGAAGCCGCTTTGAAGCACCTAATTCAGTGGCTGTATCTCCCCTTGGATGTCCCATTAGTGCAAATGAAAAGCCTTCCCCAGTACCTGAGCAGGAGGGGCTAAAAATCGGGGTCTCCTCCAGTGTTCAGTGGCTTTGTTCTTTCTCTTTCCTCGAGCCTGATTTAAAGCTTGCTGCTGTCCCTCCATGACATAAATCAGAGGACTTTTCTTCTCTCTGGATTCTTAGCTGTGCACCACAAATTTCACCAAGCATACATATGCCTCTTATTTCTTTATTCCCATCCAGCCCAGCCAACTGCTCAGAATGGAGTCTGACTTCCCAGGGTCGGTTGCCGTGGAGCACAGGCCCCAGCCCCACCTGCCACCAACCAGCATGGCTTCCAAGAGCATTCTGGTTGGACAGAGCTCACTGTGCTCCCCAAACACTGGGGAGCACAAACAAAAAGGGCAAGGCAATACCCCTGTCTCAGGCAGCTTACTGCGTACCGAAGAGAAGACAGATTATTAGAAACGTAACACGGGGTTCAACACCATGACGGCCATGAGAGGCGTCACGGGTGCGGGGCTGGGGAGAGCTGGAGACAAAGGACTGGGGAAACTTCTGGGCCAGGGGGACAACAAAGAAGAGCCAGGGGACCTGTGTCCTGGTACCTGGATGGGTAGAAGTGGAAGAGAGGCGCAACCCAGAAGGGCATAGCTTACAAAAGGCACGGAGCGAAGGAGGTGTCGCAGAGGTTCGGTGAGCGTGCGTGTGCGGGCATCAGGCAAGCTTGTGTTGAGGGTGGAATCCTTTAGCTCTTAAGTTCTGAGAATAAAATGGTTGATCCCAACAAAAACAATGTCCTTGGCTATTTCTCCCCATCAGATGTGTATAAAACAAAGCCCAATCAAGGAGCAAGCTCATATATGTACATTACCTCCCAAACTACTCCGTGTTACAGTGCTGTGTAAATGATCCTTCCTTACCTTACGGGCATGGTCATGCAAACCTTAATAGGTTTACATTTTCAGAGTCAGCTTTTAAACCGTTCGCCCAAGCCTGCAAATAAAGAATCTCTTAATCAAGTGATTGTAATGTGCTACATACATACTAGTAGGTTTTTACCAGGAAGTTACTTTCGGGTCATATTAGATCAATAATCTTTACCCTTGCCTGCCCATAAGAATTACATGGAAAGCCTCAAAAAAATTTATGTTGCCAAGGCTTGTCTCTGGAAGTTCCCATAAGAATTCTGTTATATTTTCAAGGTTGAGAATCGCTGAAGTGTAGTTATAAATTTTAGTTTAAAATTTTTCTGAGTGTAAGTTACAATAAACCATACTATAAGGAAAACACATGTCAAAACAGAAATAAAGTATTTAGATAAAATTCATTACTTAACAGTTTTTATTATTTTTTCCTCCCCAATTAAAAAGATGACATTTTAACTTCTCTTATCAATGGGTTCTGACAACCGTTCCAACAGTGCATTTTGCTACATCCTTTCCTACTTGAGTGTTGGAATCACAAAATTCTGCAGAAAAACAATGTCTTTTTTATACCTCATATGAAGACTGACTTCTTATTTTCCTTGAGGTCAGGTGATAGTGTGAAAAAGCTTTCATTCAAATAAGAGTACCTGTAACTTTTTAAAAAAACGAATAGACCCATTTTTCCTGATGTCCTCAGCTGAATTTTCTCTCGCTGCCACTCAGCTAAGTGAAAATGTACTCCATATAAGTCCACCTTCACATGACTGGATCATAATCCGCAAATATTTCAGGTCTTCCTTTCTAGACCTGTCACTAAAACCATTTAGATTACTTTTTGTAATGGGCTTTTTACAGAGAGATTCCAAGAGACTGCATAAGTGCCACTCATACCTATTAAAATAGATGGTTAGTGTTTTCTTCAGGCCTCTAGAGACCCCTTACAAGACTGAGCCAGGCAAGGGGAAGGGGAGTGCTCACTTAACTTTGCTTACCTTTTCTCATTCACTTTGTTGTTTAGGGTCAGAATGCCTTTCTACACAAACCAACCTAATTCATTTTCTGGGTGTATAAAGCCCTCCTTAGAGGCCCAACAAGAAGAAATCTTTGAAGGAGGAAGAAGAGAGCAAATCAAGAAAACAACTATAAAATGTTATGCCAGCGGCGTCAATGTTTAAAATTTTGCTCATCGACGTATGAGTGAATAAGCGAAATGTAACAGAGTAACATTTAGCCTTAACAGGAAGGAAGTTCTGCGAGATGGGACAACTTGGATGAACCTTGCAGACAGTATGCTAAGTGAAATAATCCAGACACAAAAGAGCAAATATTATATAATGTCACTTATACAAGCTACTTGGCTACAATAAGCAAATTCATAGAAACAGAAAGAAGCATAAAGGTCCAGTGGCTGGAGAGGGAATGAGGGAAGCGGATATGTGTTGTTTAATGAATTTGTTTTTCTCTTTGAGATGATAAAAAGTTCTGGATGGACACAGTGGTCATACCACTTGTTGCATACAATTATAAATGTACTTAGTGCAAATGAATTGTACATTTAAAATGGTTAAGATAGTAAATGTTGTTACTATATTTTACCACAATAAAAGAAATCAAGTTCAATAATATCTTTTTAAGGCCAATGCTTAGCATGAAACCCAGGAAGTCTGAATTTGATTATATTTTCTTTCAGCTGCCTAACTTAGGATTACATTAATAAACTTCACTCCATCTCATTTTCCTCATTTCTATCAATCAAATGGGATTTATGGAGAGCCTTTTGTTCTTGGGAAATCTCTTTCTCATTGATTCACTTGCTCCCTTTTTTGAAAAAATAAATACTCAAGGAATCTAAGGCATTCTAACTTTCTTTAGGAGGTTTTAAAGCCTGGTGTACTAGAAAGTTTTCAATTCACAGTCAAGTTTCTAGTCTCATGAGTTAACCATATATATTTAGAGTTGATTCTGTGAGATTACAGATGTTGCTAAAATAGATGCTTATGGGATTTCATTAGGGAAACTCAACAACCTTAAAGTGAAAACGTTATAATCACAGGGTAACAATATAGATTTTAAAAATTCAGGAATCATAAGGCAACTTAACAATGGGTTCTTTTTTTCCCCCTTGGTACCAGGAATCAAACTCAGGACCTTGTGCTTGCCAGGCAGGTGTGGTGCCACTGGGCTAAATGTGTGGCCCAGCAGTGGGATCTTGAGATAGGCCGCAGGAATGGCTCTTTGTGGAAGGGTATGTATACACCCCAACTTCTTTTCTTTGAAATCAAATGAGTAGGAAAGGTACATAATAATCCATTGCTTAAGTAGAGTCAGAAAGTAGTATCAATCACTGGTGAGCAGAACAGGTAGATGCTGTAAAAGGTCTACGGACAAAGGGTCAAGTCTGCCTACTTTTCACAGGGAGGACTGGGAGCGAGAGTGAGAGGGGTCTTTGAGGATCACAAATGAAAGGACAGAACCCAAAAAGATGATCATGGATGGTACAGGGAAAATCTACAGAAGAGAGTCACCAAGCTAGATTACGGGATTGGTTCTAGGAAGTACTAAGTATCATGAAAGCAGGAGGTTGAAACCTAATCAGGTTGGTGAAGGAGCAGTTAAAATGACTGAAGGAGTCTGCTCAGAGATAGCAAATTCCCATCCACTAGAAAGCTCCTGTTACCTGTTAAATTCCGCCAGAAAATTTATGATAAAAATTCAATGTCTGTTTCGTGCTTGATTGATTTAACCTATATTTTCAATCTTAATGCTGCAATTTAAAATTGTGAAAATTCAAGATCAAATAACTTTTATGATTTGCATTATTTTTTTCAAAATGAAATTTCAGTTACATTCCCCCACCCCTGAATCTACCTCAAATTGTTGAACCCCATTCGCAGCCAACTCATTTTAGTGGCTTTTTCCCTGGATTGATCATCTTTAGACCATGTGGCATCCTGAGGGGGTTAAGTAGTTCACTTTGGCCCTGACCAGAGCCAGATCCTAGAGTCAGCTTTTTCAGCTTATGGGAACAAGTGTGGGTACCTATAATAAAACTGTCCACCAACTTCAGAGTCGGTATGAAACTAGTCTGGCATTTCGGTGGACACAAACTGTAGCAATTCAGTGGCAGGGGGTTAAAGTATGAAACATACATTGCACATCAAATATAAGCCTGAAAACTAAAACCGAATGAGGAAGATGCTCATTGAGCCAGGGAACATTAGCAGATCAACAATGAAACTTAATGTGGACCCATTTTTCTCTTCAGAGCTTAGTTATACATTATCATTAGGAGGGAGGTACTGAATCCATTTCCTCAGGATATGAGTCTGTTTCCATGGTGACACAAGAGTGAGTCTTTAAACTCCAGGACAAATGAATGGAGCGTTGGCTAAATCAGGCAATTTCTGCATATTTTCAAGACAGAAAATGGCTGTTAGTCTTGCCAAACACTGATTTGTTTCATTTTATTCAGTACAGAAGAGGTCAATGATGAAGAAATGTAAGAGAGCTGCATCCTGAACCAATAATGATCCTAGATCAAGTATAAAACATGCCTGATCCTCAAGGGGGCTTGTCTTGTCAAATGAAATTATGTTGGCTTCACCTTGGATGGTACTAACATTACAGTTGCCATGCATTGGCGCAGAACATGGCAATAGGAGAAAATTGGGATTGCTTTTAATGAGATTTTTGCCTATCAGTTCAATTTAAGTGGTGCTTCTAAATACCAAGGATGGTTAATCTCATGTTTTCAAAGGGTGACAATGAGCTCACGAATCTAAGTGAATAACTTTAAATCTATAAGGCTTTCTTTTGTGGACTACCTATTAGGCAACTTCCCAGAGAGTAAAACTTTGGGGCCTTGCAACATTACATGCGCATTTGCTATAGTTTATCTAGAATAGCTTTGTTTTGTTTTGTTTTGTTTTAAGACCAGCACTACTTTCACAGGCTCTTCCGACCAAATTTTTCCTGAAAGTGGATGGGCATGGATTTGGAAGAGTCTTGTCAAGTAATGCCATTTTTATGAAAAGATGTCAGCCTCAGCTCATTTGATCTATTTTATCTTTAAGATATGGAAGTGCCTTTATCCAACAGAAACTCATCAGACAATATGCCTCAAAGGACCTTCTTTTAAGTAGTTATCACGTTCTCTTTGCAAGAAATGTCCACAGATAACTGAAGGATGGACAATCTATTCTTTCCTTCATATTCATGGCTCTCATTTTTACTTCAGAGTTATCTGAAGAGCTTAAAATCTAAATCCCCAGAGTTTGTTTGTTTACTGTACTGAGGATTGAACCAGTCTCCTCTGCACTAAACTAGATTCCCAGCCCTATTTTATTATGAGACAGGGCCTTGTTAAGTCACTAAGTTGCTGAGGCTGGACTTACACTTGTGATCTTCCGGGTTCAGCCTCCTCAAGTGCTGGGATGATTGGAGTGTGGACCATACCCGGCTCGGGTAGAATACTTTTACAAAGCTCTGCTGGAGATTCGGAGGCAAACTCTACAATAAGAACCATTAATATGGTTAGACCTAAGAGCTCACTTTTCAAAAGCATTTATCATACAAGTTTGTGTTAAACAGCCTTTCATGACTGTGATAAAATTCTGACCTAAACAACATGCAGAAAGGTTTATTTTGGCTCATGATTCAGCACCATGGCCAGCTGACTTCTTTGTCCTTCCTGTTATATGGAGGCAGAGACACTCTGGCAAGGCCTGGTGGGGAGAAGCTGCTCACTACATGGCAGTCTGGAAGCAAAGAGAGAGCGAGCCAGAGAGAGGACAGGGCCAGAAGACAGTCTCCGAAGTCACACCCTCAGGGTCCACTCCCTCCTAGGCCCCAACTCCTGTTTCTGTCACCCCCCCAAACGCCATCAAATCATCATCTCGTCAATGGCTAAGCCACTGGTGAAGGTGGAGCCCTCGTGATCCACTTACTTCACAGCCCACCAGCTTCAACCAAGCCTTCAACACAGTGCTCATGTTGGGAGGCACCGTACGTAACCATGATAACAGCCATCCAGGAATAAATTGAAATATTTGCTCTATCACAGATAAGTCCTAGATTGTCTACCTTCTCCCCTCCCAGCCCTCTCCACTGGGTGTCTGTCCTGCTTTTTCACTTACATACATAGGTATTCACAAATATACCTGTGACTATACACATATATGAAAATACGTATACAGTGAATTTTTCAAAAATAACTTTGAACATGTGTCATGCCATGCATTCTGCTCTGCTGCTGCATTCCCACTTAACGGTACGCCTTTGCACCCTTCCTGCACAGTACTTCCTGCTTTACAGTATGGGCAAGCCCCAATCTCTCCCACAAGTCATTCCCCTGAATCTCTGCCACCCACTGTGGTAGCCGCTAGCCACGCATAGCTGCCAGTACTCGACTGAGACTGATATGAAGTGGAATGTGTCACGGTTTAACACACACCGGATTTCAAACGTGTGAGGCCCAGAGGAAAACGAATGGAAAGGAGCTCAATAATAACTATTTATTACTGATTACATGTTCAGGTGATACTATGTTGGACATACTGGATAAAATAAAATAATAAACAATCACTGTCACCTGGTTCTTTATACTTTTAAAAATTTTTGTCAGTATTTTTTAAATTAACTTTCTTGGTACATTTACTGTATATGATAAAATGACATTCATTGTTGGACATTTGTACCTTTACATAATCAACCTTGTCTTATTTTTTCCCCATTTCCCTGCCCTTCCTATCACAAAGACTTTGTTTTCCATAATTTTTCATTTTCTCATATTGATTCCATTCCCTTCTTTCCTTTCCCCTTCCCCTGTTTTCCCTCCCTCTTTGTCCCTTTTCTTCCTAATTCACATTATCTATTATACCTTTTAGTCCTTATTTTCACTTTCAGTTTCTCACACTAGAGAAACTACTGGTATTCACACATGTGTGTCCTATTTATATCAGTTTAGAGTATGGCCTCAATGTGCAACCATTCAGCTATAAATAATTTCTCATTTGTATGGCTGAGTAGTATTCCATTTTATTTTTAAAACCATTTTCTTTATCCAGTCTCCTGCTGATGGACACTTGGGCTGCTTCCAAGTTTTAGCTGTTACAAATTGTGCTACTATCTACTTTTTCAAATGTGATGATTGTAAAATATACAATCACTTATGTGGCTCACATTATATTTCCTGTAAATGGTTCTGCATAGTAGATGGGAAGTTAATCTGACATCACAATGAAGTACCACCGTGCACATATATTCCACATTAGCGGTTCTCAACAAAGGGCTATTTTACCCCTAAGGGAC